GCCATAGTTTCGCCGTTTCGCCGGAGTTTTGCCAGTTTTGACTTTTGCCGGATTTAGTTTCGACTTTTGCCATTTGCAAAAAATGGTTTTGCCTAACAACAGTAGTTGTGGGCACGGGTAATAAAATAGGAGCTACCCCAGTGAGACCGTGAAAAATCGACAATATGCACCAATCAGATGATCTGCACTAATTAAACAATCGAATTTTTAAAGTAATAAAAACCTACGATAGGGTTGGGGTTGTGACTGAAATTATGGGTTATCTTATACTAAAATTTTACGGAGAATTTTTTTTGTTAGTGCGCAGTAGGTGGTTTAATAGAGAAGCGATTGTTAGAAAAGATCTGATTGGTGCATCTGCGACGATCTTTCACGGTCTCACTGGGGTAGCTAAAATAGGCATGCCCCTATGTGGCATGCCCCGGTCCATTGGGCATGCCCTACTACAATCACATGACCAATAAGTAACTATAGTGCAAGAAAATTTTAAATATTTCATGTAATTTACTATTACAGGCATTCGGTTTGAAAGTATATTGACAGTAATCAAATACAGGTTCACGAACATTAAATGCTAATGAAGAGTTACGCAAGACATAAGTAGTAATGTATATCATGTGCTCTATAAACCCATTATCTGAAGCATAGCAAGAAATATTTATATTTTAGTTAAAGTGAATCACGACCATGTAATGTTAGCTAAAGAAATAAATTATAGTTATTGTTTTGAACTCTATCAGATTCGAATTTTCTAGTTGATAAATCATTTTGGTTTATTTTAATAATAATAAAAAGTAATCACACATTGCAAAAATAGTTGTTATTGTGAAATAATATTATTTCTAGCCAATGATTGTAGTTGCTTTTACCAAGTGACTTGGGCATGCCCTTAGACTTCATAGCATGCCCATGGGCATGCCTGTGCCCCTGTGCCCACAAACCTACTTTCAAAACTTATGGAGCTAAATAAGGCAATACACCATAAACCTCCCTCTTTTTGTTGATATCAATAAAGTACGAATATTATAATAATACTCTTGTAATTGGAGAATATTGCCACTATTTAAGTTACGATGGGCAAGTCCTTGTTGATGAATAACTGCAAATCCTTTTATTATTTCTAATACAGTCGATACTGTCTAATTGCATGCCATCCGTCAGAGACTTTTTATGCATATAGACAGTATATGCATTTAAGTCATAAGAACCATTTAGTGTTAATAATTAAAAGCCAAAAATTTTTTATGCACTTATAGAGTATATGCAATTAGACAGTATCGACTGTAGTTTCTTAATCGCACATTCCAATTAGACTGTTTAATTCATCCCTTAAACTTCATATTCCATTGCTATCATGTAATTGGATGTCACATAATCTTCAGTGATCCCAATCAATCGAATTAATGAAGAATCACTAGCTTTATAGCATTTTAAATGTGTTTCCACTTTAAAAATTTCAAGTAATTAATGAAAATCAAATTAACTAGCTCTTATAATAGTACACAATAGCAAAATCTACACCAACAGTTGATGAATCGTATAAACATTTTAAAGCTACAGAAAATCCAAAGATACCAGAATAAATGGTATCAATCGTTGTAAAACTCGCATTGGTCGTTATACATAAATTTATATCTTTCTCATTGTAGCATTTCATTATTCCATTCTGTGATAGGACTATCAGTCCAAATGGTTTTATAAACAGTGCTATATCCACCTTTAGCAACATATGCGACATGTTTTAACTTTCATAAAGTATCCATTCTAACACTTCACGTTTATCCATCGCAACTAATTGAGCTTCTTGAATAAATTTATCGATATGTTCATTATCACTTGTCCCAAGAACTAAAACTCAGACGAAATCTTTCTGCATTACACGTATGCATATTCTATAATCATTTTCAACAAGTTCAAACCCCAATCTGATAACAAGAAAATAGTAGTGTTGATGTCAAACTCATCATCACCAATTAACCATTAAATGGGAAATCTTTACCCTTCATAAATATCCTTTTTTGTAGAATTTTTTTACTGTGCATTATGACAAACCAAGTGTACTAGCTGTATTACTGTATTAACGAACATAATCACATTATGTATCATTACCTATCACTCATACGACTAGCAGCTTAAAGGATGGTTTAAAGTATACTCAGTATTAGTGTTCCTAGTTGGTAAAAATTTTGCCTAATCGATTTTTCATTAAATCTGTCGATTAGCCAATCAAACCAAAGAAATAAACACGGATTAGCCCGAATAGACGGAATATCTCGGACTTGAATTAGTTGATTATTAAATCGATTAGTTGGTTTAAACTTTTTTAAATCGATTAGTTGGATTCGGATCACTACTTTTAGGATTCTTATATATTTTATTGAATTAACTTTAGGGTTAGGGTCATCTTATATTAGAGTTAGGTTAGGGTTTAGGTAGTAATATACAGTCGATACTGTCTAAATGCATACGGTCGGGAAAGACAAAAAAAAATCAATTTTATGCATTTATACAGTATTAACCAATCAGATATCAGAAAATTAACTGTCTAAATGCATTTACTATTAAATTTTTTTAAAAAATTATGCATTTAGACAGCCTTCCCGAGGTAGGTTTAGACTGCTTTTTTGTATTTTTTAGGTTTTTCGTTTTTATTTCTTGTTTTGCTTCGCCGGCGATCATCAAAATTCTATAATTTGATTGGCCATATATCACATGTTTCCGCTCCGCTTAAGACGACCCAAAATAAGTGTGATTTGCACGGTCCGGAAAATACCGGACTGTAATATCCAATCAAAAAAAAAACTTATCAATTTATCAATCTTATTTTTTTTGTCGCCTAAAAAATGTTAGATAAACCAGTTTATGTTCCAAAATACGAACCGGGTCAATTTGATGATGCCTGCGAGGATATTCCTCCTGAACAGTGTACATTTAATAAGCATGGACAAGATTTGGAAAATGATACTACATTAAATGATTTAGAAAACGATTTTTCGTTTGAAGAGGATGAGGACGATTATTTTGATGAACTAAATGATAACGAAGAATGGGAAAATCCGAGTGGGGGTATGATCTTAATTTAGTATTAAGATATCTTTCCTTAATACGTAATTTATTACTAATTTATAATAAAACTTGTAGATTTTACTAAACAGTACAATCGCCTAAGACAACAATTGCAGCCCAGTATCATGCCTGGGTCTACTTCACAGAAAATTACTATTGCAACACCCGTAAAAAATCAAAATACAGGTGGAACAATATCAAAGCAAACTGATGCTAAAAAAAATTTTGCAGAAATTAAATCTCATGATTATATGAAGTCCTTGAGTAAATATGCAAATAGGATTAATCTTGGTAGGTCTCTCAGCTTTAGTTCAATTTTATCTCTCAATATTTCTAATTTTTTCTTATTGATCAAATTTATCAAATTTATCAAAGAGGAAATTTCCCCTGCCCATCTATCGACCTCAGTTGTTAATGATATTAAGATGAGCGACAAAAAAGCTCAAGGTAATAAGTAAGTAATTCTTTTGATAAATCTGGTCAAAAAGAAATTCGATATGATTTGATCAAATGTTTTTAATTTCGTTTTTTTAATTAGACAAAAATACAATGATAAATCAGATCGTGCAACAACAGAACAAGTTTTAGACCCACGTACGAGAATAATTCTTTTTAAGATGATCAATCGTAATATTATTTACGAGATAAATGGATGTGTCAGTACTGGGAAAGAGGTTATTAGTTAGCTATCAATAGATTTAATAGATATTTGTTATGGCATAGACGTATATATATTTTTTATCTGATATATAGTGTTCGAGCGTTATATCTGTAGATGAATAATTAATCATAATAAATTTACATAATAAATTTATATTTTTAAATTTTATATTAGAAGAATAAGATAATTTAGCATACAAAAGATTGTATTCACTCAGATCAGCATGGACAAGGCGACATGTATGATACATGGTTCGCATATTCTTGACAAGCTGATAATACAATTCCGGATATTTATCATAACTAATAGCCGCATCCTTCAATCTAGGATACGCCCTTATTGAGAAAAGTTAAAAAAAGATTATCAGAATTTTAACAATAAAACAAAACATACCAATAAATCTATTGAATTTTTTTCATACCACCCATCATTATCACCTAAAAAGCCCATAACCAAAACATGTAATCTCAAAACAAGAGGTTCAGGACAAGGTATTCCTGATTGCCACAATCTTTTCAAATTTCTCATTTCTTTTTCTGCCCATAATTTGACCATTTTACGAGGATTGTGTTTACTATATCCATGTCTAAATCGGAATTCACCCGTAACATAACGATCCCGATCCTTAAAAGT